CCCCAAATCCCCTCCAGGAACCCCAAATCCCCTCCAGGAACCCCAAATCCCCTCCTGGGAACCCCAAATACCTGGGAACCCCCAAATCCCCTCCTGGGAACCCAAATCCCCTCCAGGAACCCCAAATCCCCTCCTGGGACCCCAAATCCCCTCCTGGGAACCCAAATCCCCTCCTGGGAACCCCAAATCCCCTCCTGGGAACCCCAAATCCCCTCCTGGGAACCCCAAATCCCAGCCCAGGACACACCTGGGGCTCTCAGGATGACCCACAAGGCAGAACCGTGATGAGCCCCCCAATTTTGGGGGGTCAAAAAGGGTTCAGGGACACCCCAAATACCTGGGAACCCCCAAATCCCCTCCTGGGACCCCAAATCCCCTCCTGGGACCCCAAATCCCAGCCCAGGACACCCCTGGGAACCCAAAAAACCCCACACACCTCCTGTGGATCAGAACTGTGATGAACCCCCTGAATTTGGGGGCTCAAGAAGGGTTCAGGGACCCCAAAAACGGGGTTCAGGGACACCCCAAACACCTGGGGACCCCAAATCCCCTCCTGGGACCCCAAATCCCAGCCCAGGACACCCGGGACACCCCAAATCCCCTCCTGGGACCCCCCTGGACCCCTCCAGAACACCTGGAACCCCCCAAAACCCCCCCCCCAAAATTTGGGGGTGCCCCGGTGCATTGTGGGACATCCCATCGTGCCCCCGGAGTTTCCCACAATGCCCCGCGGGAAGCGCTGGACCAGGCCCCGGAGTATCCCAGGGTGCACCGCGGCAGGAAACGCTCCCACAATGCACCTCGGCCTGGGGGGGGGGGGGTGCTCTCGGAGTTTCCCACAATGCACCGCGGCTCCCGTTTAACCCTCGATGCACCGCGACCCTCCTCAAATCCCAATTCGGGGGGTCCCAGGGGTTTGGGGGGAATCCAGGGGGTCCCAAGAGGGATTTGGGGGGGTCCTAGGTTATCCAGGGAGAGCTTGGGGGAAAATTTGGGGGGTCCCAGGGGTTTGGGGGGAATCCCGGGGGGGCTCAGGAGGGATTTGGGGGGTCCTGGGGGGTGTTCAGGAGGGATTTGGGGGGTCCCAGGGGTTTGGAGGGAATCCAGGGGGGGCTCAGGAGGGATTTGGGGGGTTTGGGTTATCCAGGGAGAGTTTGGGGATAAGTTTGGGGGG